ATTAAATTTCACTAGTCAAGACCTGTATTTGAAGAACAGTGTTATTTTAAATCAAAGGGAACTTTTCAATTGCATGTAAAACTCTGGTATCAAATACAGCAGCTTTTCTTAAAAATGGATAAAAAGTATGGAAGAGGATTTGGGACCTGCATGCAATAAGTCACAATTTATCTGGGAAAGTCATTAAAATTGACTATAAAAATACTTCACAGGGTGTTAACCCCTGTAAATTGCATTACATCAACTCAAATATTTCCAGGCACTGACAAATTGGTACATATTGAGAACTCTGATGGTAAAACCAATTTCATTATTCATTCTTAAGTAAATGTTTTTGAAGAAACTGGAAACATTACTCAACAATCTTTATTATTTGATGTACTGTGCTTTTATTGTTCATATTGCCTAAGGCTAATGAGCTGTTGGAACACCAGAAATTAATTCAAATTTTCTTTTGGTGTCAGATTTACTAATATGAAACGTTGGAAGTCCAAAGAACATTACAAGGCTTGTAAGATTTTGCTCAGGTAAGCTTACAGTAAAGGAGAATTAATCCATCTGGCCACGCTTCCTGCCTGAATTACCTTGCAAGGCTGAAATCAGTCTTGCAGGTCACAGAGTTACTTTTCTCCCCCTTCGCCTTTACAGTCCAAGAAAATAGGTAGGGTCTCTTTTGAGATGTTCGCCATGCCTACATTTCTTCTGCAAGCTAAGCTGCCCCTTGTCTGACTGTTCCCCAGGTGGTGGCTTCACCCCTTGTCTCCCAAGACCATTCTCACATACTATTACAATGCCTTTCATTTCTTGAGAGTATCAGTGTGTCTAGACCAGAGGTAGGCAACCTTGGCTCTTTTATGACTCGTGGACTTCTCAGGAATTCTGACAGTTGAAGTCTACGAGTCATAAAAGAGCCAAGGTTGCCTACCCCTGGTCTAGACTATAGTATTTAGAGAGCTGAGCTTAAACAGGGGAGATTGAGGATCCAATAACTATTTGGCCATTTCTGAATTGCTATGGATTATTAATGCAGGGTCTCCAAACTTGGCAACTTTAAGACTCGTGGACTTCAACTCCCATAATTCCTCAGCCAGTCATGTTGGCTTGGAATTCAGGCAGAATAAAAAAAAAAAAAGAAAGATTGGGGAAGCTGTTCCATAGGCCTTTCAGTTAACCCAAGTCTCCATTTGAGTTCCTTCATTTTCAGTGTGCTCCCCTGCTCCCCATCAATACATTTCTTCATTGAGTTTAGTGATAAAGCACATAAAGTATTTATTGTTCTAGGAGCTTTTGCATACAGAGTGCCAGGCAGGCAGACTGGAAAAGAGTTGACATACTCTGTTGAGGAAGGCTGTGAAGATGGTGATAAGGGCATTCTCTCACTCCCATCCATACTTCTGATGGTTTCAAGATTGTCCTTGAGACATTTGAGATCCTTTTAGGAGGCGACAAATAGGAAAGTGCTTGTCTTTGGCTAGAGGCTTTGTGTTCTGCAAGAATTGTGTTCTCACACAATTGTGTGAGAGGAATTGTGTGCATTGTGTGCATGAGCACACCTGATAATAATTCTCATACACATCTTCACAAAGCCAACATACTATTGGGACACACAAGTAATATAGAAACTGGTCCAACATTAGGCCAAATATTGATAGCATTCTAGTTCTGACTTCACGCTCCATTTTCAAAGCATTGTAAAACATTCATTATAAATAGGCATTTAGTGAGATTTTATGGTAAAACATTTTGCAGGCGAATATTTATTTAATGAGCTTGGCTGGTAGCCAGCTTTCCCAAATATCTTGTGATTAGCTATTTTGTTCTCTTTAAACATTTTAACAGATGTAGCTTTCACAACTATTAGCTTCCTTGGGAATTCAGAGATGGCAACAGAGAATTTTCAAATAACATAATATACTATCCCTAAATGTTCTCTTCTCACTAACAGATCTAGTGCTTGTCAAACCCCCAAATGTTTTCTGCAAATATCTCAAAGTCACTTGAGAATGTTCTGGTTAGATTCTCTTGTGCGTCACTCATCTGAGACTTCTCAATATTTGCCCCATCACAATAGACCCTGATTTTCTTGTCTCTAATTCACCTTCCTAAAGATGTCCATTTTAATCCTTTCACTGCATTGTAAAGATTGCTTTTGTTTCATTTATTGAATGAATTCTGACTGTCTTCTCCCATTTACCTATTGGTTGATCAACACCTTTGAATATAAATACATAAAAACAAACCAATTAGGTTTTCTAGATTAAAAATGGGGTAGGCAAAGACTTCTGTCTGGAAAGTAAGTCAGAGAGACAAGATTCAACAGCCCATCTTCATTTTAAAGACAAAGGTCATTCTTTTGAAGACAATAAAGTCCACATTCTGGACAGAGAGGATCACTGGTTTGAAAGAGGAGTCAAAGAGGCCATCTACATTGAGATGCAATAGCCCTCTCTCAACAGAGGGGGTGGGATACGGCACCACCTATCTCCTGTTTACAACACAGTTCTTTCAGCAGTTCCAAGAAGATTCCACACTCATTTGCATTCAGGTGACCCAGAGGGCACAGGTAAACCTCCAAGTGACCTCAACAGGTCTCAAAAAGAGTGCTAATGACCAGATGACTGCAAGGAATATAAATCCTTTCATCCTCCACCATTCAGTCAGAACTGAAGAAGCCTCTTGGATGAAAAGCAAAACATCTTGAAGGGAAAACAAAGTCCAGTTGCCTTTTGAAAAAGCAATTTGGGATAAGACAGGAGACCCTCCAAGTGCATGATAGTTGCCATATCACACCCTTAGTTATGGTCAACATCATGGCAATACAGACTCATATCTGCAGCAGCCTTTGTGTCTTTGAATGATTAAGCAAAACTGTCATCAGATATGTCTTTGTTTTCTCTTTATCAACTCCCAAGGAGACTGTAAGGAGTAATCTTGACGGGAAAGATCCATTGTTTTGGAGGCCTTTACATTTGAAATGTTTTGGCCTCAAGTTGCATTGTCCTTGCCAAGAAATCCTAAGAATAAAAATGGGCAAATTTTGTGGGCAGGATGACTGGTTCCATGCAATAACAGGGTCCATTTATTCAAAGACCTTGTCTAGTGACCTCAAGATACAGGCCATTAATTGTCCTTTGTGACTGGGATGTGTGATTTCCATCTGAGTGGCTATAACAGTATTACCAAAGTAACCTACGAATGGGCTATGTTTCTCAGCATGTTTTATACTTAAGTAACAAAGAGCTTGTTTTATTTGGAGGCCTGAGCTATAAGCAGGAGAAGAACATTATTCTCTTTGAAAAGCTAAGTAGTTGTGTATGATGGGAAATTGAAAACTAGACTGGAATAATAAATGGAATGAACAAAGACGAGGCCCTTTTTAAATAATCATAGTCATCATCAATACGGTAATTTACCCAGAGAAGTTCAACATCATGGCTTATCATCATCATAATCATCACGACCACCATCACTACTGTTACGTCTATTATCATTATTATATTTTAACATCTTCACTTCCATTGTACTCAAAATACAGTACAGCAAATGTCCCACACAATTGGTTAAAGACTGAAATAATCATTTAAACATACAGGGTGCTAACAACATGATGTGAAATATAAATGGAAGATGTGTCAGGGAGTCTTATTTTAGGAGCTTTTGGCTATCTATAGTATTATATATAAAGAAGAAATTCAGCTCAGTTTTTAAGCATTGTGAATCCCTGATTATACCAAAAATTATTGAATAAGCATTCCACTAAATTGATATGGAGGCAGCTGATAAATAAAACCCAGCAACCATTTTAAATTTGTGATAAAATGTGCAAGCAGTGCACTGTGGGGTATTCAAAATGGCTACAATGCCTGTAAGGTTTTTTTTTTAAAAAACCTAAGGCAGGAAAACAATTTTTATTTAGATCAGAGCAATGGCTTTATTATAGTTTGCTTTATTTCTCTGAAATTAGTTGATTATACTACATTCAATATTAAGGATTCTCTGATTCATACATCATCCCTGTTGCCGTTTGCTGAGAACATGGACCAGCTCAAATTTTGTTCCTCTCTGGTCTTCCCTCGCTAATCTAATTTTATCAAATTATCCATATTAAATGAAAGCAACATTTCAGGAAACAAATTATCCAATGACACAAGCATACACTACAGTTGTCTGGGTCCATACCTAATTAAACATAGATGGTTTAAAACACTGTTTAACAAGCCACAGTATTCTGGTTCATGGATAACATTAAGACATAAACCTTGATTTGCAAACCACAGGGACTGGGATTACCCTTTGCGCTAACCGAAATCCAAACACTACATATAGGTAGTCCTCAATTTACAACTTACATCCTTAGCTGGTTCCAACAGCCGCACCCTGCCAATCACGTGACTGTATGTTGGGCATTCAGTAACCAACTTGCATTTATAGCAGTTTGCAGCATCCTATGGTCATGTGACCATGTTTTACGGTTAAACTGGCATTTACTTCCAGTTTTCAGGAAAACCAGCCTATAGCAAGCAATTGGTTCGCTTAATGATCACTGCATTTGCTTAATGACTGCTGTCACAATTTGTGACTGTGATGGGTAGACTCCATTATGGTTGTTAAGACAAAGGACTACTTTTGTCCACATGATGATACAGTGTAATGTTTGAACCAGCCACAGTGGTTTTCACTGAATAACGATTGTTAAAGCAAGATTACTAGACTATAGACTCAGAGGGGCTTCTGAAAACCTACACATATTCAAAGCACAAAATAGCAATAGCAATAGACTTATATACCACCCCACAGGGCTTTATAGGACACTCTAAGGCATTTATAATGTCAGCCAATGCCCCAAACAATGTAGGCCCTCATTTTACCAACCTCAGAAGGATGGAAAGTTGAGTCAACCTTGAGCCCTCCAGGATTAAACTCCAGGCTGTGGGCAGAGTTAGCCTGCAATACTGCATTCTAACCACTGCGCCACCAAAACTTTAAAAAGCAACAATTACCTCTTCCAGCCTCCGTCTCTGCTCTTTCTGTTCCTCAATCCTCTTCTGACGTTCTGCCAAGAGCTGCCTCTTGTGTTCTTCATTTTCACGCTGCTGCTGCTCCAGCTGCTGCCGACGGAGGGCCTCTGAGCGTTCCTTGTTTGCAAGCTGAAGCCGCAAAAAATCCCGCCTTAAGGTTGATTCTCCAGGCAGGTTTAGGATGGAGCTTTACCGAGGAGACAAACTTACATTAGTCCAGCAATGCCTATGCATCCAATACACAAAAGCTCTTGAATCCCTCCCACTTTTCTGCTAGTCAACTCTACTCATACCGAAAGATCTACCTGAGGCTTCCTAACTTGGGCATCTTCCTGAATATAGTCACATACTTGGATCTACTATATACATCAACAAATCCAAACTTTAGCCTTGAATAGAATATTGCATCATAGAGCTGGAAGGAACCTCAGAGGTCTTCTAGTCCAACTCCCTGCTCAAGCTGGGAGACCTTATACAACCCCAGTCAAATGGTTGTCCAGTTTATTTTTTAAAACCTCCAGTGTTGGAGCACCCGTAGCTCCAGGGTCAAGCTATTCCAATAATTAATTGTTTTCACTGTCAGAAAATTTCTTCTTACTTCTAGACTGGATCTCTCTTTAACAAGCATTCACCCATTACTTCTTGTCCTGCCCTCTGGTGCTTTGAAGAATAAGTCAAATCCCTCTTCTCTACAACAGCCCCTGAGTACTGGAAGATAGTTACCATGTCCCTCAATCCTTCTCCTTGAGAGGCCAGACATACCTAGTTCCTTCAATTATTTGCATGCCAGCTTGCAAATTTAGTAATTGCTAAATTATTCCTTGGCATCTTACTAAAAGCTCCCTCACTTGGTTGCTTCAGCAAGTAGAAGATTAAACATAAACACCACATTCACTCACAGCTAAGCCAAGAATTTCAGGTGCCAAAATACACTAAAAAAAATTGGATCTCATTTATCCATGGATGGACTTATCCACAAGTATGTACAAATAGGTTTCTTTCTCAGCTTTTTAAAAGTACCTGCATAGTATTTGTATATCCTGTATAAACCTGTGGGTTAATTTCATCTGCAAATAAGCAGACCCTCAAAATTTTAACCAAAATACACAGATAAGCCAATTATGAAAATTAAACTATATGAAAATTTTGAGGGTTTGCTTATCATCAGGGAGCACATTTTTCGTGGTATGTTTTAACTATGATACTGGTTAAAAATTCAAGGGTCAGCTTGAATATATCTGGTATCTAAGCATCTGAAATATTTCATTTGCTCAATAGTTCTTCCATTTATCATTCATCTAGCTGTGCAGCTAAAGTAATTTCATGAAAATACACAGGCTACTCCGTTTGAATGATTTATTTTGAAGCATTCTTTATTGCACTAGGCTGATGATGACACTCCAAGACACTTACATAGCTCAACTTTTGATAGAATGGCTGCATCATCCGCATATTAAAAAAAATAAGTTCATAAGCATGGAGAGTGCCCAGATTGGAAACATCAATCTATACAGTTTACATGGCAAATTCACCTTAATAACAATAGCTGATGTATATACTTTTTCACAGTGCTTTAGAGCCTTCTCTAAGCAGTTTGTAGAGTCAGCATATTGCCTCCAACAATCTGGGTCCTCACTTTACCGACCTCGGAAGGATGGAAGGCTGAGTCAACCTTGTGCTAGTCAGGATTGAACTGCTGGCAGTCAGCAAAATTAGCCTGCAATACTACATTCTAACCGCTGCACCGCTACAATTCTCCACTGTGCATCACGGTTCTTAATGAAAGTAGAATGGAAAAAGCTCCCTCCTCGTTACGGGACATCAAATAAAATCCCTACAGTTCCTGATTTAATATCATGTTCTGAAATACATATCACCTAAGAGATTTTCAGATGTTCAGTCTTTCTATTCTACAAAAAGTGGAGAATAAACAGAGAACCAAAGCAGGCATCAGATAGTAGAGAAAGAAGAAGAAAGATAAGAGGCCACAGAGACTAGCATTTCCTCATTTATTTTCATATAATTTATAATTGTAAGAACACAAAATCTCTGCCAGTAATTACAGCTCAGCTGAGGTTTTATTTCATTGTGTCAGCTTTTGTTGCTATTTGATGCCCAGTGCAGAAATACAATGGAGCCAAGTGACAAAAAGCCTTTTCTGGACTCAAAATTATATTGGACAAAGAGCTTGATTCCAACATGTACAAATTTCATATAGGGGGGAGGACATAGTTTCACTCTGGCCCTCTCTCTTATGGGCAATATTTCTATATTCGGAGAGCTCTCACAGGCAAGCCTTAGAGGAGGAATTAGCAAAAATGGTCATCCCTAGGTTTTCCTGGAAATCATAGCTGGACTAATGAAGAATTCCCTAGAACAATGCTTCTCAACCTTGGCAACTTTAAGAGGCGTGGAACTCCCAGAACTCCCCAGCAAATAATCTTGACTGAGGTATTCTGGGAGTTGAAGTCCATACATCTTAAAAGTTGTCAAGATTGAAAGACACTGCCCTGGGATCTGGAGACAACAGAGCTGGTGTAAGGTTAAATATTACAATCTCTTGACTTTTCTCCATGATCAGAACAGAAGGCTTTTTATTCAGTCAACATCTGAGCATTCTTCCTTACTCTGCCTCTTTCCGAAACCATGGGAATGTTATAAGGACTATGTCACTAACATGAGGAACAATTTGATTTTTTTTATTTCTTGTCTCACAGCAAGATTTGTATAAGGAGTAAGGGATTCAAATCAGAGGAAGAAGTATGGTAAGAGTAGGAATCCAGTTTTAGACAAAAATAACCCCTTCTTCTGAATTTGGAGAGCAAAGCAGGTCTCTCTTACTTGCCACTACGGATTTTTTTTGCTAAAGACGACCCTACTGGATGCACAAAAGATGAGAGCATAGCCAGAACAGGGACAAATGTTCATTACCTGGGTTCTCCAGAGTCATTTTCTTCCTCTTCCTCCTCACTTCCACTGTACTCATATTCCGTCTCATCTAGGAATATAATTAAGGGTCAATGCACTCTTTGAAAACCATTATTTTTTTTTCTGAAAAGGCTGCTGAGGTTCTGGTAAAGAAAGAAAACTTTATTTTCATTACAAATTATTTCAGGATTGATTTGTCTTATCCTGAAATGCATCAAACCATCTGAAAGAATGAATGAAATAGAGAAAAAGCAAGGGAGAGAGGGAGAGGGAGAGGGAAAGGGAGGGAAGCACAGTAGGGTGTTTCTTCAGACAGGGTCCTCTGTTGCATTAGGCCTACCTACCCCGATGAAGGTGCCTTCCTGTTGTGTCAACTTCCATTCCTAGAATTTTCAAGCCAACATGGTACTACTATAGGTAGTCCTTGACTTACAACCATCTGTTTAGTGACTGAAGTTATGATACCACTGAAAAAGGTAACTTGCAGCTGGTCCTTGCACTTACAATCACTGAATCATCCTTCTGGTCACATGACAAATATTTGGGCCCTTGGCAACTGGTGTTAATTTATGATGGTTGAGGCTTCTCCTACTCACACGATTACCATCTGTAATCTTTATTTGCTTGTTTCCAACAATGACAGTCAATGAAGGAAGTCGGATTCACTTAATGACTATCTGCTTCAATTAACAACCATGGTGATTCACTTAAAGACCATGGTTAAAAAAAAGTCATAAATCAGGAGTGACTCACTTCAGAACCGCCTTGCTTAGCAATAGAAGTTCTGATTCGAATTGTAGTCATAAGTCAAGGATTACCTGTATTGAGAACAACTGGAAATGAGGATAATCTGTGGTTAGAAAATACTTTTCCTGAAAATGTGTTAGATGAAGCAAGTGAAATAGATTAGTGGGAGTTTGTAGCAAAACAAGCTGCTTTCTATCTTTATATTGTTATGCTGAAATTTTTGGCCACTCTGAATAACATTCAGGATTAATATATTTTCATTTTGTATGTCTTCCTTTCAGATGTAGAAACCTCTGTTGCCAAACAATAAAAGTTTGTATTTATCCAATTATTTGTCAGGCCTGGGATATAATCATCCATTTCCATGACAAAAGATGTTTAACACCATTCTAACATCTGTGTGATACAATTCAAAGGGGGTATTGATTTGTGTCAGATATTAGAAGAGGAAGGAAATGGATGATCTCCACCCCACCCCCTTTACATACTGCTTTTAGAAGAATGGAGATTACAATGTGTTAATTGCAAGTATTTTACAGTTAGTGATGCTAGTAAACCAGAAATGCATTCATTGAGAAGATGTCCTCTATTAAACGCCTGTCACATTATAGATTTGTTTAAATGACAGCAATCCTACTCTTTTGAAATGTCTAAAGGATTACAGTATTAAAATGGTAAAATAAGTGATGAGCCTGGGGTCAAACACAGCTTCTTGCTGGCATTTCAGACATTCACCACAGGCACACAAACACCTTGCTTTGCTGACAGGAGCCTAGGGTAAGCCTCAATTTTCACAGAAAAGGAAGGTGGGTAGATAGATCTGCATTAGCATTGAAGGCCACGCTAGCATTAGAGGTAAAGTTTAAAAAACAACTTCAGAGACAACTGTGTGAAGGACAAGCTAGGGAATGGAGATGATGGTTAGCATTTACAAAGAGTTAAAGGGAAGTAAGCAACTCTAGTGGGTGTTGAAGATGGGATGATGATTTCAATCCAGAGAAAAAGTGGACAGTCATCCTAAAATCGATTAGGCAACAGTTGCATGTCTGAAAGACTGTTAATTTGTAAGTCTTCCAAATATAAATTTATCTGAAAAGGCCTTAATGTGAAGGATGCTGGAGTCGGAGCGAATCTACTGATTGCAGAGTTCCCTTGATAGGGCTATAAAGATGATGGAAGAAAAGAACTTTTGATTTGTCAAAAGATCTTTCTATTAGATCAAGGTCAGTTCACCTAACAAGAGAGAAGGAAAAACACCATCGCTACTCCCTGTGAACCTTATGTGTGTTTGTGCATGTGTGTGCATGCACACACATGCGTGTCTTCAGGTCAGTGTTGTTTCCAGGCAACTGGCTAGAAACATCCATGCATTTTTGCTGGCAAGGTTTTTCAGAAGTGATTTGCCATGGCTCTGCAGCCTTCCTAAGGCTGAAAGTGTGCGACTGGTCCTAGTACCAGGGGTAGGCAACCTTGGCTCTTTTATGACTCGTGGACTTCAACTCCCAGAATTCCTGAGCCAGCCAGGAAGTTGAAGTCCACGAGTCATAAAAGAGCCAAGGTTGCCCACCCCCTGCGGCCTAGACCATTCCTTTGCCTTTTCTTTCCTTGCAGGAAAAGACAATGATCTCACTTGTGCCTCTGACACACTGTCTTATCTGAAGGGAGGTATAAACATTTGCAATGGTATACAGAGCAATTAGGTGGCTATCAATTTATGTACAAAGCTTGAGGCTAAAGAAGTGAAGCTGCTTTTTACTGTGTTTCATCAATAGTTTGAATAAACTAGGGAAAAAACTCTGAAAGGGGTTTTTTTTTTTTTGCATTGTCTCCCTCTATTTCTGTGAACCCTTAGATACACCCCAAGGCAGCATAATAAAGAAGTGGTTTATCATTTCTCTAAAATATTCCATTCTTTCTAATAAAACAGGATATGAAATGAAAAATTATTCATGTGCTAAAAATGAATAGTTCAATAAACACATATCTTACTGCTTTTTGAATGTAAATGCAGGCAAACCAAAAGATATCTAATCTATAATTATTGAGACTATTTTATTTATTGATTTCTGAGATTTACATCCCACTTCAAGCAAACCAAAATATAAGTAATCTCTAACTATTGATATTTTATTTATTGATTTGTGAGATTTTTCTCCATGACTTTCTATGTCATGTATAGCACTCTTCTCTTATTTTCACTCTGCTCTAAAATTGGTTAAGAGTCACATCCTCAAGTTCCTAATAAATGTGAAGAATGCAAAAGGTTATTAAACATCCAGATTGCTGAGGCAAAGATTTTATTTTTTGATTGCTTTGCTTTCTTCTCACGTAGAGAAATGTGAAAATCTGGTTGTTTATCACAATGCGAGCACTTTTATGTTCTTATATCCCTGGACCAATGCAATTTTTTCACCACTTAGAATAATATTTTATCTTACCTTTCTCTCCTCGTTTTTTCTTAGTCCTGTCAATGTGATCTTTGAGCTGGATGCGAACCTGCCTTTCATTTGGCTGGTCTCGAATAAACGGATGCTTCATCAGCTGTTCAGTGGTTGGCCTCTGACCATGGTTTTTTACCAGACAGCTTTCAATGAAGGACTGGAATTTTTTGGACCTATCAAATCAAATAATTGGGGGTAGATATGTAGAAAAGGGTTAGGTTAATATTTATGAGGCAGGGGTTTGACAGTGTTGGACAAAGTTAAAAGGATTGTCCCTATAAGAGGACCACCAATTTTGTGAGCGCATTAGGTCAGCAAATTGGGGAACCCTCCAACCTTTTATCAAATTAGCGGAGAACAAAGTGGGTTCTTAGAATTACAATTTTGGAAACCCTGTTGAAGAACCTGGGCTAAATTATTTTATGTCTTAAGACTTTTGGGGCTTTTCTTACTGCCTTGAGGAAGACCCATCAAATTCAGTACGCTTCTGTAATTATATACAGGATCATACTGTAACTCCAATAGAATGAAAAGGAGCAAGAAGGCCAAATGAGCAAGGAATTCATAATTGGCTTGGATTTTAATTTGTGGTGAACATTATTGGTCTCTCAAAATCATATCTAGGTTGTATATACATTTAACCCTTTCTTATGTTCCTTTTCCTTCTTCTCCTATCATGCAACCTAACAAACTTCTTTAAAAGAAAGAACAGTCTTCTCTCTTTCTGCCCTCATATGCCTTGGGACCTTTCAGTGTAACATTATACCATTTCTCCATTCTCATAATTTCTTGTTCCAGGGTCAGGAACACAAAATGCCTCCAGAAGCCAGCTAAAGAAAAGGTAAGCTGAGAAAAGGAAATGATTCAGTAGCCTGAAGTGCCCTTTTGAAGCTACCTTGCAAAACAAAGTGTTTGCAACCTACCATACGTCCTCAAAATCCCTTGATGTTAAGATGAGCAGATCCAGGTACCACCCTGAAGCAGAGCACTCCAGCTATCAGTCAAGGTGACTCTGTAAAGTGATGTTATTTTCTGCAAGTGCTCCTTCAGCCTGGCATTCTTTTCATTGAAACAAGACATTTTGCTTTGTTGTATGTGAAATCGGGCAGAATAACAGAGTTGGACAGGACCTTGGAGGACTTCTAGTCCAACCCCCTGCTCAAGCAGGAGACCCTATACTATTCCAAACAAGTGGTTGTCCAGTCTCTTCTTAAAAGCTTCCAATGATCGAGCACCCCCAACTTCTGAAGGCAAGCCGTTCCATTGTTGTCCCTATTGAGAAATTTCTCCTTAGTTCTAGGTTGCTTCTCTCCTTGAGTAGTTCCCATCCATTTTTTTCTTGTCTTGCCTTCTAGTGCAGTGAGGACCACAACAGAAAACAGAGCCTTGGACCCTATGTTGGTTTTTCTTTACAACTCTATTCTTTTACGAATAAAAATGATTAATTTATGCACTGTAATTGCAGATAATCTCTTTGAAAGTAATATATCAGATATTCTACTTACAACCTAAACCCCATTCATCCCACCTCTCAGAAATTGGTACTCAGTATTCTTTTCTGAATTTGGAAACTACATATAATCATTGTGATAAATAGCCTTCCATGTATAAATTGCCAGGTGTTGTTGTGAACAGCATTACTTTATTCTGGAATTTGGGCTGTCTTTTTCTTTCTTTTTTTTTTAAATTAAAATACATGAATTATCCCCAACCAAAGTTATTCTCTTTGAAAATTGGAACCTAATTTTGTTCTGCTACGAAATAGAAACGAATAAACACAGATCTGCCAAACTTGGCAAATAAGGCAATTAGCACAAATTAGGGATGAAAGCCAGCAGGTGGAGCCACAATTTGATCAGAGCAAAAGACAGTACATTTTGTTTTCTAATTGTTGATTTTTTTAATATAATAATTTGGATAAGGAAATAAATATATGCAGTAGCAGATGAAATAAACAATACCAACAAATCTATTCTCTTACTAAAAGATCCTTTTAATGACACTCAGGAAGAAAAATGAAGGCAGACTTGTTTGAATCAATGGGCTGGTTCTTACACAAAGGTTGAATAATGGCACTTACAAACCGTTTATTTTTATGTATAAATGGGACCATTAGAGATAAGGCCAATGACAGAAACAATTAACAAATTCAGTTGCTACTAATACAGGAAGTCTAAACATGTCCATGTATTTCAATGGAAACCAAAGGAACAATGCTCTACAAAGTTGCTGCCTTGTTTGGATACATGCATGAACATGTGTAAATGGAAAAACAGGTCACCAATATTTTCTGTTTCAGCAGAACCTTTCAATGAACTGGAAAGATAGGTGAGTATAATGCTTTGCTGTCATATTTTCTAATGATGAATATCACTTCAGTCTACAAACAATATATTCAATTTAGGTTTGGCTTAACCCTTGTAAAAATTCAGCTGTAAAACTTTATAAATTGTAACTTTGTTCATTTGCCAATGTTTTATCCACTATAAAATGTTGGATAACCTTGACACTACCAAGTAATCTCTTACTGTACATTTTGTGAAACAGGAAATAAATATTCAAGTGAGCTCTGAAGAACTTATTTCTATTCAATTTAAGATAATCTTAAACAGTAGCCAAAGTTACCTTGCTAATCACATTGCATTTTAAAAATGGTTTAAATATGAATTATTTTGCATACCACTAATTACTAGTGTTCTGAAATAATCAATACTATGAGTTTTACCAGAACTATCTTGTTCTTTTGTTAGTTAATTGGCTAACAAAAAACAACAACAAGATAGTTCTGGTGAAACTCGTATTAACCTTTTAGTCTAAAACGCCAACACAGATAATTCATTCATGGAACTCAGTATTATCTAAGCTAGTTGGCTGTGACCCTTTTTCCCCTCATAGTTTTTGTAGTCCTCCCTGAATATATCAGCACTAAATGTGCGAAGAGAATCTTCCTCCAGGTGGTCCTTCAGCATTTCCAACGATATACTAGATAGCAACAGCACTTAGACTTATATACCACTTCATAGTGTTTTACAACCCTTTCTAAACAATTTACAGGGTCAGCCTATTGCCCCCAACAATCTGGGTCCTCATTTTACCAACCTTGGAAGGATTGAAGGCTGAGTCAACCTTGAGCCGGTGACAATCGAATTGCTGGCAATCAGTAGAATTAGCCTGCAATACGTTATTCTAACCACTGCACCACCACAGCTTGTGCAGATCAAAAATATTAGGTGGAACCAAGTCTCTGGTGCATGCCAAGGGAGGCACTTGAAGGCATTTTTTGCACATGGATCTTACACTGTGTCTCACTGATTATAACAAAAACTTCAAATCTCAATTTCAGACTATTTGGAGAGACTTTTTGAAAAACACAGGCAAAAGTGCAGAATGGATCCTCCTACAACTGTGCCATACAGGCTAACTGATAAACCTGTTCAAACCACAGGTGAATATATTTTCAGGAAATCAAAATAATTTAACTGAGTTCAACTTTACCAGTCAAAAACAGCTGAAGAGGCAACAGTTAACTTTACCTCATTGGTTTGGGTAAAGCAAACATTTTGTCCAAATTCTGCAGACTCTTATAAAAGCAAGCCCATGATGCTCAATGAGTTTTAATCATCAATCTTACAAGGGACGTTAGTGAATATCAATTGCTTGTGGGAAAAAAATAACTGCTTCATGTTTAACAGATATAAACATCGTATGACTGCTGCTCTGTAGCAGCTGACCCTAAGACCCAGTTGCCGTAGTGTTGGATTATCTCTTAAATTATTCTTATATGCGCCCTATAATACACAGCTTCAACTTTTATAATGGTTGCCTATATGTAATAGATACATTTCGAAATGCAAAAACAAAAGAATGAACTCCTGACACCAATCTGCTTAAACACAGCAGCTGTTGTCAAATGATAATCCACAGGCTAAAATAAAAATCTGAATGCGCTATGCACACAGGGAAAGAGAGCCTGCTCTTTTAAGCCATTAAGTTAGCAAAGAATACTGCTTATCAACAGGACTTACTGTATCACTCTAGAGCAGACACTTCCTCTGAGCATAATTGCAAGGTTGTGTGGGTAAACAACATTAATAAAGGGTCTCTAGCCAGACTTTGGAGTAAGAATGCTTTAATAAGACATTTACTTCTTGCAAAAGGCCTTTTCGTGGTAAATGCATTTATCTTTGAGAAAGGGGTGTTGTAAAAAAAATTATGTATAAGCAATCCTCGACTTGCAATGGTTCATTTAGTGACCATTCAAAGTCACAACGGCACTGTAAGAAGTGACATGACCGTTTTTCACATTTACAACCATTGCAGCATCTCCATGGTCACATGACCAAAATTTGGACACTTGGCAACTGACTCATATTTATGACGTTTGCAGAGTCCTGGAGTCATGTGATCAGCTTTTGCTTCCTCCTTCTAATAAAGTCAATGGGGAAGCCAGATTCATTTAACAGCTGTAT